TCTGAAACCAGACTGATTCTTATTCAACAGATTATTGCCAACTAAATAGCTGTTTAGCTTCTTATAAATTAACTTTTCAAATATTTTCGATAGAATGGGCAAAAGAGTTATAGGCCTATAGTGTCTCGGATCATGCCGATCGCCAGATTTAAAGAGGGCATTGAGATAACCACACTTCCGTGAATTTGAAAATGAGACAAGGCGTAGCGATTCATTGAATAAGTAAGTTAAAATATTGGATACAGTCCATGATGCTTCTTTTAACATTCTCGGCGATATACCAGGAGCTGAAGCTTTAAAACAATCTATCTTCTTTAATGATTCCAAAACATCAGGTTCAGAAATTAGAAAAACTTACATCATAGTCTTACTAGTCTTAATTGGTTTGGGTATGTCAATAACCATCCCACTATTCATCGTACACATAGAAGCAAAATGGTCGTTTAGAACATCAGCTTTCTCATTGGGTTTACTTACAAGTTTGTCCGAGGAAGATCGAATAGGAGGAATTAATGATTTACTAGTACGACCTAAAGAATGTTTGACAAGTGTCCACCATCTCTTTGATTTTGTACTTATATTAACAGATATTTGTCTATAATAGTGATTTTTTGCTGTATTACATTCCTTTTCAAACGACCTAGATATTTCTTTATAAGAAAGAAAATTTTTATCATTTTTGTTTCGTTGATATCGATAAAACGCTTTATTTTTATCACATAGCTTATAACTATCCTTATAATTATACATGACTCGCGGAGTTTCTAGAACAGGTTCCGAAGAACAGTTTATTCTGGCCTTAACGATTAAATGATCACATGTACTACATAATTGGGGGAGTAGCTCTATTGATTGTATACATGTTAAATTGTCGACAAAAATAAGATCTAAACATGTATCTGATTTAGGTCGCGTCGCTTTATCAACTAGTTGAAGTAGTGCTGATTTATTAGCAAATTGATATATGTGCGAGCCTGCTGAAGTAGTTTCTTTGGTTGAGTTGGGGTACCATGACTTACAATGACCGCTAAAGTCTCCTATGAAGATTAAATCACTAAAATGATAACCAGCACCAGTTCTAACTTCATCAATAACATCCTCGAGATGATTAGTAAATGAGTCGACATTAACCCACTTGGGCCGATAACAAATAGCTAAGAACACTGTTCTATATTTTGAATATTTTATTTTAAAAAACATTGTCTCAAAGTTTTGTTTCTCTAATTGCATGTATCTTTGAGCAACTTTACGAACGTACACTAGAATTCCACCATAACCATTTGGACCTATTTCTCTATCTCGTCTAGATGTTTGATAATTCGGAAATAATAAATCATCTGTATTTATAGAATTATCAAGCCATGTCTCAACTATCATTACTATAGCAGGGTTACTATCTGTTAACATCAAAAATAAAATCTCTAATTTTGTAACATCAACCCGATTCGGAAACCTAACGCTGTCAGCAATACGCGCCATGATACTATCTGCATTTATCAAGAGACAATCATAATTCTTACAGCCTGGTTTATTATGACCATTATGGTATGTCATATATGAATGTATAAGATAGACTATATGAGTGATTCTGATAAAAATAGTACCGTTTTTGTGAAAAAATTTGACTGAAACAAAAGGTAAACATCTAGGTTTTTTCTTATCATCTATCGATAGTGTGTACCTGAGAGTATCACAAAACACGGGTTAGCAAACTACCACTACTTTATTTTCCAGATTTGAAAAACATTTTTCTATTATCGGCGTCAAAACACCGTGCATTTGGTTGTGTTTTGAATATCTTTTGATAGAAAAGAGCTAGAGAGCTCCAGTTTCCACCCGTGGAAAGAGGAAACTTAAGGGCATATTTCCATAACCAAAATTGTTTTCATAACAGTTTTTGAAATAGGTTTTCTAAGAGATCTTTGGAAAACTATGCCGTCTGTAAACATTTTCCAATAGGATTGTATTGCTTTTTTCTCATGGACTGATAGCCTGGGATGTCCTCTTCAAAATAGGGGTAAAGTAAGACCTTGATTTCCCGCGGTTCGGGCGTTGTATCAGATTTCCTACGAGTCCGGCATAGTAGGTGGTTACGGGACAAATTGTCAGTCAAACCTCATATAACTTCAATAAAATGGGAATTCCTTGGTAGTGAAAAGTGATAGAAACGTCGGATTTTCGCTGTTGTCTATTCTATATATTTAGTCAACTTTTGGCATATAAAGAAGGCAAATTGAATAACTTACCAGAGCTATCACAGACCATGTGGTTACGGGACAGAAAAAAGAATTTTTTTGGGATCACAAATTCTGAACAAATTTGTGAAAAAACATAACAATCGGTAACAAAGGTAATGATGTAGCTGAGTAGAGCGAAGAAAATACTATAAGAAAGAGAAAAAAAAATATTGCTCCACATAAAATAACACAGGAAATAAGATTTACAAAACCAAACGTATTTGAATCACCAGAAAGACAACATCAAAATAACGGTCAACCATGGATGTTTTGCTTATAATTCATTCACGGTTAAACATAGAAAAGGCGTGCTTGCAGCGATTATAAGCCTAACGTTGTTGAATATATGCTAGAAGTCCGAAAGTGATTCATCAAGGCTAAGAAAAGAAACGCTTCGGATTATTTACTTCATTCGAACGGTACTATTTTTATCAGAATCACTCATATATATCACGCATCAAACAGCCGATCGAAACAGTACATACCATATGTGACAGGATAACTATCATATCATTGTTACTTACATGTCTGCAGCGCATACTCAAGGATAAGTACAAAGAAAAAGAAAACTATACATGTACGGCAAGTTCATTGATACAATTGTGAGTATAGCTGTAGTGAAGACATAAAAGAAGAAACGAAGAGAGAATAGCACATGGACCTATATGTTCTTACTGACTAAATGGGGTTGTTTATGTAATGAAAGTTAACGTTTTATCATTGTTAACACGATAGACACGATCATTACGTGTGATAATGGACTTTTTTCGATCTCCATTTAACTTAGAACGTTCATTTTGAAATAATATTAAAGCACGTTTAGATAAGTCTTCTATGGATATATTTCAATTTTTACCTTGTGGTTTATAAGCTGAACGTAATGTTTGTAATCGTAATGAGCGGCTGTATAGACGTGCAATAATAGGACGATTTTTATCATTAATCCGTTTACCTATATGATGACTATTTTCTATATCATTTGTTGTTATTGACATGTCCAGATTGTTATTAATAATACTAACGATTTTCAATGTTGTATCTTCTTTGGCTTCTTCACTTATACCTAGTAAACGTATACAAAACGTTCTATTATGACGTTCTAAATCATCGATTTTTGCTTCTAATACTGATCAGCATTCTTCAAAATGCTTTAGTACTGGTTTTAATAATAGATTAGCCACTTTATCAGCAACCATAGCAAGATTACTTCCATCATCATCATTAAAGTTTTGTTTTTGTCGAACATCATTACCATTCTGATCATCATTATGATGTGATATTATCATATTATGAATTGATTTACGTAATGTCTCATCA